AGGCGCTTCGTGTGATGAGAAAGAAACCTTGCAGGGGCGTGTGAGGAGGGGACTTGGGACGGCGGAGTGTAACAGCATCGTGTATGCCTCTTTGGCTTACCCTTGCCATCCTCCTCCTGCTTCTCCTCCCCCCCCCGCGGCGCGCGGGGGATCGGCCGGGCTTCTCCTCCGCGCAAGGTCCGCCTGGCGACAAATCCTCGCCGCAGGGTCGGACGTCGAGCCGGGTGGCGTCCCGGAGCCTCTCGCGGGGCGGGAGGAGCACACAAAAGGCCAATTGATGTCGTGGATCCCGCCCCGCAGCGCGCGGCGCGGGGTCAATCTTCAGGGCCTCGCGCCGCCACTCCTGGGAGAGGGCAGCTGCTCTGGTCGAACAAAAAAACACACTGTGGGAAATAAACACACACGTGGGAAACACAGACACACTGTGTTTTCCCACTGTGTTTTTTTTTTCACTGTGATTTTTCCCACTGTGTTTTTTCCCCACAGACCGCGCGCCCATGTGGGGTGACCTTGACTACGTTACCCCAGGAAGGGGGCGGCTGGTCAAGAGCAAGGTGGTGGTGGTAAGACGGTGGCATTGGCGGTGTCGCCGTGCTCATGTCCAGTCGAGGCCCACATGGTCAAGAGCAGGGAGAGACGAGGGAGGGAACGTCAGTATACAAAGTGTCCAACACACACCTTCTGCATTCGCAGGGGACGGGGGGGCGACCGGGGGCACCAGACACTGCAGTCTCACGCTCATCTCGGGTCGGGCGAAAGGGGGGGATAGCAAAGGGGGGTTTGAGAATCAGCAAACGTAGCTGATTTTCCGGGCGCCTCCCAGCGCCAGAGGCGGCTATGTATCGAGGAATGGGCCCCTCGGCGAGGCCGAAACCAGCTGCATGCAGCAAATTTCGTAACCCCCCCTTTCCCAATCCCCCCCCCCTTCGTTCGGCCCGATCATCCAGGGGCGCGGCAGGAGGAGTCGAAGGCACGGGGAGATTTCTCGGGTGGTGGGCCCGAACATGTGGCGACATGTGGCGACTCGCAGCAGGAACGCCCCCGAGTCTGGTTATCGGTTTTGGCACCTGGAGAGCCTTTCCTGGCCCTGCGGGCGTCAACAGACGACTCGGGATGGAACACCGATCCCAGGGAAGGGGTCGAGAGCTCCAGTGGGCAGCGACTCCGAAAAACCTGGTCGGAAGGCTGGCGGAAGAGTATGCGGGTGGTGAAACCAGCTGAAGGTTCCACCGCAGTGATGATCAAGGGTCCCCGAAGACGAGACGCTGATGGAGCCGGCCGTCGATGGCAGCGACGGCCGCCGCCAGGAGCGATGAAACATGTTCGCTCGATGCGGAGTTCCCCATATAAAAATCTTGTTTCCTGGCACTTCCCGCTGTGAGCCTGAGCGTCTGAATGAGAGAATCTCGAACAGCGTTTCTTGATTTTAGGCGATGACGGGCGTCATTGGGGAGGGGAGGGGGGGGGGTATGATGAACCCCCCCCCCGCCGTGTGGCTCCGGCACCTCAGCCGCGCCCGCGCGCACGACGACGATGAGCGACGAGCGACGAGCGACGACGACGACGACGACGACGACGTGAGCAGCATGTAGGTGGCGATCTGCCCCACAGCGCCTGTGTACACCACAAGGCTCACGTGTACCACAGCGCGCGTGTACACCACAGCGCCTGCGTACACCGCAACAGCCGTGTGCAACGCGGCCTCTGTGTACACGACTGTGCTTGCGTGCACCACAGCGCTGGTGTACACGACAGCGAATGTGTACACCGCAGCAACCAATGCGCATGTGTACACCACAATGCTTGTGTGCACCGCAGCGCCTGTGCACACCACAGCGCCTGTCTACACCACAGCATCCGCGTGTAACGCAGCGCTGGTGTACACCACAATACCTTCGTGCACAGGACAGGTGGAAGGAGCATGTAGATGAGGATCTGCTGCGGACAGCTAAACGCCACGCCCGGGAAGTGCTGATAATAGAAAGCGACGTTCTTTCCTCCTCCCTCCTCCGCCACCTCCTCCTCCTCCTCCACCTCCTCCTCCTCCTCCTCCGCCACCTCCTCCTCCTCCTCCTCCTCATCCTCCTCCCTCCTCCCTCACCCTTCCCCCTTGTCGTGCGGGTCGGCGCTACAGCGCACGTGCGCATCTCAGCGTGCACGGCAGAATTGTTTATTGAATCAATCCACTTGGTTCTCGGATGGCCAATTTTGCTGGAGCCTCCTGGGCGCAAATAGGAGGAGTTTGGGTAATGCGGGCGGACTCGGGAGGACGCGTAGATTCCAGCGGCGCTCACTTTTCCATAAGGATTCCGTTCGAATCCTATATAAAACCATTGTTTTCTGCGGGCCCCACAGGCGCTCCGTTCTGTCATAAGGATTCCTTCTGAAATTCTACATGCAACAGTGATGCTCTGTTGCACACGGTTGTCGTGGTGTACACATGCGCCATGGTGTACACAGGCGTTCTAGCGCACGCCAGCATTGTGGTGTACACTGGCGCTGTCTTGCACATGGCTGATGTGGTGTACGCAGGCGCTGTGGTGTGCACAAGCGCTGTGGTGCCCGCAAGCACTGTGGCACACACTGGCGCTGTGTTGCACGCGGCTGCTGTGGTGTACATAGGCGGTGTGGTGTACACGCGCGCAGTGGTGCACGCAGGCACAGTGGTGTACACAGGCGCTGTGGTGCAGATCGCCACGTACATGCTGCTGCTACCCGTCCTCGATCATTCCTAAGCATTCCCAGACGCCGCCAGCGCGAAACGTGACGTCATCGGCCCCCTCCACTCCCTCCCACCCCAGATGATTGCCGTCATCGGCCCGGAATAAAAAACAGGTTCCAGCCGCGTCCGCGCGCACGACGACGATGAGCGACGAGCGACGAGGGACGAGCAACGAGGGACGAGCGACGACGACTACGACGATGACGACGACGACCACGACGATGACAACGACGACGACGACGACGACGACGACGACGACGACGACGACGACGACGACGACGACGACGACGACGACGACTGCGGACCAGAATCCTGTGCGGATTCCTACGCGGATCCCGATGCGCACGGCGGCAATGCCCGGAGCGCACTGGGGGGGGGGGGGGCATTACGTCATAGGGGAGGCGGGGGCCATGACGCCCGTCATGGCCCAAGCAGTAAAGAACAGCATCTGGCTGTGGCGGCTGGGTGCTTCCCGGCGGCTCCCCGCTGGGGTGTCCCAAGTGCAATGCCTGCTATACGTCGCGGTGATCCTGGGGCCTCGGACAAAGGGAGGAATCGGGGGTGCCCAAACGAGCGTTGGGCTCGAGACATCGCCAGAATCTGGGCGTGCGAACGGGCAAATGCAGCACCCCCTGGCGGCGCCTCCTTGGGGCGCCCGAGTGCCACGCCTGCTATATCGCGGTGATTAGGAGGCTATCAAAAGAAACCGATCGGGGATGCCAGGTGAGCGAACCGCTCGAGACTTCCCCAAAATCTGAGCGTGACCGGGGAAATGAAATACCCCCTGGCGGTTCCTTGTTTGGGTGCCTGAGTGTTCACCTACTAATGGCAGTGGTCATAAGACTCTCAAGAGAGACGAGCTCAAGGTCGTCGATGGCAACGGTCACCGCCTCGAATGGTGAGGCGTCGCACGCAAGAACTGCCACGCTGCTCGCAGCAATGCTTGCAGGCGCGATAGGGGTCGGACCTTTTTGTCGTCGTCGTCGGCGGCGTAGGAGGAGGAGGAGAAGGGGAGGAGGAGGAGGAGGCGGCTGAACCAGAACCATAATCAGAATCTTAAGGCGGGATGGCACGGCAAGCAACGTGCGCGAAAACTCACTAGGCGAAGAATTATCCCAGTGCGACCCTACCTAGGAGTTGGAGCATTTAGGAAAGCAACATCTACATCTACACCGACAGCTGATTTTACATCTACACCTGCATCTACATCTACATCAACATCAACAGCGAGACTTACATCTACATCTACATCTACACCTACATCTACAGCTATGCTATGCTAGGGTACGCTCGGCTGCGCTGTGTTATGCTAGGCTATGCTATGCTATGTGATGCTGCGCTATGCTATGCTATGCTATGCTATGCTATGCTGCGATATGATATGATATGCTATGCTATGCTGCGCTATGCTATGCTATGCTAGGCTATGCTATGATATACTGTGCTGCGTTATGCTATGTTATGATTTGCTATGCTATGCTATGCTATGCTGCGCTATGCTATGCTATGCTATGTTATGATGTGCAATGATATGCTATGCTGCGCTGTGCTATGCTAAGCAATGCAATGCTATGCTATGCCATGCTGCGCTATTATATGCTATGCTATGCTATGCTATGCTATGCTATGTCGAGCTGTGCTATGCTATGTCGAGCTGTGCTATGCTATGCTATGCTATGCTATGCTGTGGTAATGCTGCGCTATGCTGCGCTGCGCTAAGGTAAGCTAAGCTATGCTAAGCTCAGCTAAGCTAAGCTAGGCTAGGCTAGGCTAAGCTAAGCTAAGCTAGGCACAACTAAGCTAAACTAAGCTAAACTAAGCTAAGATGATAGAAGCTAAGCGAAGCTAAGCTAAGCTCAGCTAAGCTAAGCTTAGCTTAGCTTAGCTAAACTGGGTGAACCCAGGGGGCGCAACTGGGGGAACCGCGGGGCGGATCCTGGGGGAACCGCCCGGGGCGCATTACACTGCCCGGCCCTGTAATCCCAGAGGATAAGAACCCTTCTAGGCAGAGCCTAGGTAGGGAAACATACAAAGCAGGCGCACTGCCCTCTGCAACGCTGGAACTACTGAAAGACTTCACGCTGGAATTACTGGAAGACTGAACCGCCTCCTATGCATATATATATATATATATATATATATGTGTGTATACGCTGATCCTGGCCAGGCCCATCCCAGGCCCAGGATTCGTGCATACGGCCTCCTGGCTTGGGAAGGCACGTGCACCGGTACCCGTCCTGGGCACAGAATCGCCCTGGCCGGTGTGCGCAGGTTTTTTGAGAGCTGGCGCCCTCCGAGTGTGCCCTGCCCTGCGCGAGACCGCGGCGGCTCAGCCGCGCGGCTCCGCCCCCGCGCCGAGGGCCTCCCACGCCTCCGCCCCGCCCCGGAGCACCAGCATGCCGCTGCACCGCACCCGCAGGAAGGCGCCCAGCAGCGCGGCCGCGTGCAGGGCGGCGCGCTCGTCGTGGCCGGAGCGGCCCACCACCACCAGGCGCCCGCTCATGAGCCGCTCGCCGAGCGCCAGGAGCTCTGCATCGGGCAGCGCCGGGAACGGAAGAGGAGAACGCGGCACAGGCATGAACCTTTCGGCGCTCCGCGCGGAGCTCGGGAAGAAAAAGGTCCATGGCCGTGCAGTCTTGTCCTCTTCGAGGGAAGCCCTCGGTGCCCGTCGGGTGGGGCAGCGCCACGCTCCCCGGGAGGCGCCCGGCGGCGGCGTCCGCGTCCGCGCGCACGTCGACGACCACGCAGGCCTCCCGCTCCCGCAGGCGCTGGAGCTCGGCCGGCTCGATCCACTTGGGCTCGTCCCGCCCAGGCCGAGGCTTCCCTGAGGCCATGGCGGTGCCGATCTGCTCGGCCACCGCCCGGGCCTCCTCGACGCGGAGGCCGCGCGGCCCGAACAGCCACGAGGGCATGCGGCCCTCCAGCCAGCCCACGCATGCGGCGGCCGTCTTGGGGCGGTAGAGGTCTGCCGAGTAGGCCGGCAGGATCCACGTGACCTCCGGGCGGCGGCCATACCTGAAGGGGCCCTGGGTCACAAGAAGAAAGACACACAAAAAGAAGGATCCCCCATATCTTCCCACATCTTCTGGGTTTTGGTCTTCCCCCCTCCACCTCCCCCATTTTCCCCTCTTTTCCGGGGAATCGACGACTCATTGTGTCTGTGTTTTTTTCTTCCCTCCCGAATACCTCTTGGCGTACTCGGACCAGGCGCCCCCGCTGCGCGGCGCCCAGGACGCGGCGGAGCCCCAGAGCAGGAACGGCTGCGGCCGGCCGCCGAGGAAGGGGCCCACCGCCACGGTGCTGCCTCGCCTCCTCCGCTCGGCCGGGTACGAGAGGGGCGCCTGCACGTAGCGCACCCCGTCCAGGTCGAGGTCGTAGCCGAAGTGCGTGTGGCCGAAGACGTGCACGTCTGGCCGGAGGCGCTCCACGCGCCGCCGCAGGGGGACGGAGCCCGAGGCCTTCGCCAGGGCCGGCGTGAAGAGGTAGCGCTTCTCCGGGAGGAGGTCCTGGCGGGGCAGCATGTGCGAGAATGACACCACCGCCTCGCAGCGCGCCCTTCTCTCCAGCAGCTCGTCCATGTCGAAGAGCTCGTCGTTGACGCCGTCGACCGCCTGCGCGGCCGTGCCGTCCCCTATCTGAACTCCTCGAGGCCAGGACGTGCAGGCGTAGTCCATCATGATCTGTTCGACAGGAGCCACGCCGTCCCAGTGCGTGTCAATGTCTGGCTCTGTGTCCCACTGCGGGTGGTGCCACGACTGAAGCGGCACCACGAGCGCGCTGCCTGAAGAATCGCCGAACTCCGCCGGAGCACACTCGACCCCGAGCTCGTCGCACACGTCGACAATGCGGCGCAGCTTCTCCACGGCGTCAATGGAGGGCCGCGACGGCCGCGCGGCCTCGTCGTGCCAGAGGTCGTGGTTGCCGGCGCAGAAGAAGACCCGGGCGAAGCGCTCCTTGCACAGGCGGAGCGTCTCCCGAAGGACCGCTGCTCTGTGGGACACGTCGCCCGCGAGGATCAGGGCGTCCTTCGAGGTCTCGCTCCCGTCGAGGCCCCGGAGCCACGCCATGTTCTCGGGCATGTCCGTGTGGATGTCCGAGATCGCCCACAAGCGGACGCCCTCCCCTCCGCCCGCGGCGCCCGACATGGCGGGCCAGCCCCTGGGGAGGACGCGGGGAGGGCTGGGGAGAAGGGAGGGAGGAGACGCGGCGAGCCCGCGCGGGCTGGGGACGAGCTGGCGGGGGAGGCCCCTGGGTGGCATGCGAAGGTGGGCTTGAGAAGAAATGGCTCGGGATTCGGGAGCCGACTCTTGATGCCAGTCCACAGCAGGGCCCAGAAGCCACTCGCCACGAGCGGGCGCGAGGCGACTTCATCTGGATCGCGGAGGGTGGGAATTCAGAGCGAGGATCCGACTCGAGCGCGTACAAGGACGAGACCCGGACGCTGAGGCTCGGATGCGCCTTGAGGCACCAGAGCAAGCGTCTGCGAGCGTGAGTTCACAACTCACGCTCCTCTTCCTACTGCTGCTCCTATTTCTCCTCCTCGACCCTCCTCGAACTACCATATACTCTTTCTTCACCCCCGCTTCGCTATCCTCCTCCTCCTCCTCCTCCCTCCTCCTCCTCCTCCTCCCTCCTCCTCCTCCCTCCTCCCTATCCTCCTGTCATCCTTCCTCCTTCTCCTCCTTTCTATCCTCCTCCTCCTCCTCCTCCTCCTCCTCCTCCTCCTCCTCCTCCTCATCCTCATCCTCCTCCTCCTCCTCCTCCTCCTCCTCCTCCTGTCCTCCTGTCATCCTTTTCCTGCTTCTCTCCCTCCTCCTTCACCTCAACATCCCCCTCCACCTTCTCCTGCTTGGTTTATCTTGAAAGCGCCATCAGTTGTTTTTCTATGTGTGTGTTTGCATTTTGGACTCTAGACTGAGCTCCGTCGGCAATGCCGCCCTGGGAGGGCGACGAAATCAAATCGCGCTGGAAGACAAGGCGGGGATCAGCGTCATAATAGCCCGCTCCGGCGCCGAAAAGTTCTCTGAAAGCTTCCGCGGCCGCGCAAGGTGGAGGCGGCACCGCTCGGAAGATGTCGGCCAGAACGCCATGGGCCTCGGCCCGGGCCCGCGAAAGCCCGAGCGCAACTCCTGGCTGAGGCCGCGCACCGTGCAAGTCGTTGATGCTGCCCACTGTTGAATTCACTGCTGCTTGTCAATGCGCCATGGCGCGCAGCTGGCGTCGCACTAATCGTGATGGGCCAGAAAGATCTTAATTGTCTTGCGACGCGACGCCAGATGGCGGCGGCATCGGAGACAGCCCCCGCGCCGCCAGCAGCAGTCCTGAGTCCACGGGTCGGGCGGGCGGGCCGACCCCCGAGAGGTCGCGGCCCCTGGGCGGCGCCCTGGGCCGCCGTTGCCCGCTTCGCCTTGGCGCCCCTGGACTTCGCCTTGGCCTCTGCCCCGGCGGCGCCCCGCCCAGCCTGGCGCGCGGCGCCCGCGAGACCCTCCGGGAAGGCGGCCTGACTGGGCGCCGCCGACGGCTGCGAGCGCGACAGCTGCCGCTCCTCCCGGAGCTCGCGGCGCTCCTTGGCCACGCGCTCTCGCGGTGGAGCTCGGCGGCCACCTGCTCCTCGAGGGCCGGGCGCAGCGCGATCTAGCCCCGCGCCTCGCCGAGGCCGAGGTGCAAGAACTCGCCGCTGGCAAGGTCGTCGCCGAAGTCGTCGGGGCGAAGGGGGTGGTGGCGGCCGCAGAACTCCGCCAGCTGCGCACGCCTCATGAAGAGCTCGGTCACCAGCGGCTCAGGCGCATTCAGCTGATCGAAGGTCAGCATGTACTCCAGGCCCTCCATGGCCGTCTCATGGTCAGACACTCCGGGGTCGCCACTCGTTAATCTGCAGGCGTGCCTACGCCGCGCGCGACCAGCTCTCGGACGCACATTTCGTCTGAAAAGGTGAACGCGAGGCACCGGGTGACCGCGCGGGGCCCCGCGAGGGGCCAGTTGTCCCAGACCGCCCCCTGCATGAGTCGATGGCCTGCTTCGCCCCCCTGTGCCTCTTCCCAAGCTTGTCCCGCGAGATCTCGGGGATCTGGGCGCCCAGCTCGAGCGAGTCGGCGTCGTCGCTGCCCTCGAAGTCCACCGGCGCGACGGCGGCCCCTTCGCGGCAGACCGCCGCCGCGCCAGGGGCGCGCAGGTAATTATCCGAGCCCTCGCCTGCGAAACCAGAGCCACAGAGGCCCGTCGCCGACGCGGGGCGCCAGGAGCCCTTCGCACCGGGCAGAACCCTCGCGCCACGGCTCGGAGAAACCTGCCTGGCGAAGTCCAACACCTCCGACTCCTCCGCGCCGAGGGCAGGCCGATCGGCCCCGCTTGGCCCGATGGGGCCGGCGGGGGGAGGTGGAGGCGCGACCGCCGCGTCGGCGCCCCCCCAGCTGCGGCGGCGCGGTGCTCGCGAGGAGGAAGACGCCGAGGAGAAGCCCCAACCCGGTTCTCCACCCGACCCCGACAGGCGCGCATCGCATCGGCGAGCGCCGCGGGCGTCGGCGGAGGCGAGAACCCGCGCGCCCGGTTCAAGCGCGCGAGACGGCCGAGACCCGATTCCACGACCGCCGGGCCGCCCGGCCGAGCGCCCATTAGCGCGCGCAGTGGCGTGGCGGCCAGCTCCTCGGGATAAACGTCGAAATCCGGAGTCATGGCCCAGCAGATCGCGACCGCGCCCGTGCGCGGGTCCCCGCCCATCATGCGTGAGTAGGTGGCCCGCGAGCATTCTGCGAGCACGATCCTCCTCATCCAGGCGCTGGGGATCCTCCTCGTGCTTCACCTGGATCTAGCGGCCGATGCTCAGGTGCTGAACGTCGAGGGAGTCGGCCACGCTCAAAGTCGCGTCCGCCGCACTTCAGCACCGGCAGCACGGTGAGGGCCCCTGTCACGGAGCCCAGCAGGAAGCAATATCCGCAGATTCAAGATGGCCCGCCAAGCACCTCCGACTGGACCGAGCACGCGAAGGCCCGCTCGGCGAGGGGCCCGAGAATAACGCTGACTGCCTGGGAGAAGCCAAAAACCAAAAAAGACACCCATGGATCTGGGGCGCCGCCAAAACTGCGCTTGAGCCGCGTTAGCGGCGGCCGAGAGGGCAAGGGAGCGGGCTCAGAGAACACCTGCAAATATCTACCGCCCAACTATTATTTCCTGCAAGTGTTGATTTACTCGGCTCGAGTCTCATTTGTGCGCTCACACTCTTATTACTTCCGTCCGCGGGCGGCGCAGATGTCATCCTGGGGCGGGGGTCAATTCTGTCATGCGGGGCCGAGTGCGGTGCCGTAAAGTCGCGCAATGAAATGCCATTCTGTCGCGTCAGCGGAGGAGAAGGAGAAATTTTCCCTGATACTCAAGCTTGGTGTGATCGTTCATCAAAAGTTAAGGTCGGTCGAATCACCACTATGAACGGTACGATGTGAGCTTGCCGCTGAGGGTGCGCCCCATCGTTCGACGGCAAAAAGGACATTCGGAGGAGTATCTGCCGAGCGTCAAAGGCAAATCGGGTCACGGCTTGGGGTATCCAGTCACGTTCCTGCTGACGTCTGCGGTGAGAACCTTGCTCGAGTCCTGCGCGGAGACTTTACACACACTGGTCACACAAGTACCTCGTGAAACTCAAGCCTGGGTCAAGTGAGGCTCAGCACTTCGTGTACCTGTTCAGAACTGACACGACGTTCGACAATACGAAGCATCGCCTTGTCATTTCTATCAGGGGCCAAATTTTTGAGCGCACGATCGTGAAGGCGGCCGATGACTGTAGGAAAAAGCAAGCATTCGCAGGCCTGCGCCCCCCTTGCCGCCTTGAGTTGGACGGGCAGAGAGTGATCGAGGCTTCTGAATAGTCTGGGTTTCTTGGGGGCTTCTGTTTGAAGCACGCCTCAATCGAGGCGACCCAGAAATTGCATGAGATTGCGCTGGTTTAGCATGGCATCGGGTTGCGATGGTTTTGTGTGCTTCTGCTTCACTCTGGGTTGGTTTAAATTGTGTTATGTGCTCGTCCTGGAAGGGCCCCCCGATTCCCCACAAGTCATGTCTCAACTCTGCGTGCTGACTTTAATGGCACGATCAGCTGAAAACTCTTGCTGGAACAGGCGCGTCCCAAGAGAGACACTTCTCATGGGCCCCATCCTGCTTGCGTGTCGTTCGTCCCTCCCCCCCCTCTCGTTGTTTCCGTTCCGCTGGGCCGTCGGCCTCTCCTCCGTCCCCGCCCATCACGCCTCGAGCCTCTGTCCGCTGCGGCCGTGGCTTTGGTATGGGGCCTGCTCCCCCTTGCTTTTCCTGGGGCGGTGCGGCTTGCTGTTGGCTCCGTTTGTCGTGCCTCGCCTCTCTGCCATGTGGAGAGGAGCCTCTTCGGCACGGGCTGTGCACGAGCACTCCCTGTGCATGCCAAGGGCTGCCGCTAGTGCCCCTCGTGTACTGAGGTGCCAAACAGATCGACGCGGGAGTCTCCCCCCAAGCCTTCCCAGTCCGACCGCCCTTGGGCTCTCGTGGATTTTCCTGCCGCCACCACCTCCTGTTCATCCCTCCCCCTGCTCATGTGATATTCCAGTTCGCCTGTTCGCCTTGTTCCTCCTGCTCTTCATCCTCCGTCTCCATTGCTCTTACTTACAAATGCCTTCGCGTCCTCGTCGCACCGCCAGACGTGTCGGTTGGGCACGCACAGCCTTTCGCCTGAGGCTTCCCCCCAGAAATCACCTTGACCCCGAACACTTCCAAGAGCTACATAATGCGGATGCAGGTCGACACTGTTCAAAATGTTGCGCTAGCCATAGCGCGGTGCACATTCGTCGTAAACTTGTCCAACATATGCAAGGGTGCAGCGCGTGGACCGTTCTCAAAAGGTGGCTCTCGCTCCAGCGCCGCGCACGCTCACATCGGGATGCTCCAACAGCTCTACGGACGGAAAGGGGCGCCGTTTTGAAAAGGTAGCTCTCGCCCTAGCGCTGTGCACGTTCTTCGTACAAGTCCCCGACAGGCGTACACGGATGGATGACGACTCTTTTTCAACATGGGGTTCTAGCTACAATTAACACAGTCGCCCCTCTGCGTCACCGATTCTCAATCCTCGGACGAAAAGCGCTCCGCCAAGAGGCCCCCGAGAACCCTCCCATCGTCTCACAAACTCTTCTTTCTTTCTTCTCTCCCCGCCTTCTCCCCCCTCTGCGCCAACGACCCTAACTCCGTGGACGATAAGCGCCGCAATACATCATCACGACAGGAATCGCCGCTGGCCCAACGTGCCAGCCAGAGGCGTGCTAAGATCTCCAGTGACCCGATGATAATATCTCTAGTTCGCGCGCACAAGACGCCCCCTGGAGGTCCGGGGCCGACATATACCCCGAGCAGGTCCCAGGCAGGTCCCCCGCAAGTCCCCATCAGAGATGGTTCTGCTCCTGCGCGCCGCCCTCAGGGCCTCCCAAGAGCCCAGAAAGAGGCCCCGAGGCCCCCGAGAGGCCCCCCAAAAGCATGAGAGCACCACCGCGCAGCCACAGTGATGCGAAATGGGCCGGCGGAGTGAGCGAAGCGATTCGAGAAGCACACACGGTAATCACTCATGCTGTGAGAAATCTTGGGGCACATTCGTCGTCGACCTGTCAGGGCCCCGAGGTGCCCGACGGCTTCGTCCACGGGGCCATCGTGAGATCCCGAAGTTCCATGGGGTACCTGCTGGCAAACCGATGCTTTGTTCGGTGCGCCCGCTGGACACGGGCAGCTGTTAACAAAACAACTTCAGCCTGAGAAGACAAACTCTGCAAGTCCCGCTCTCTTAGCAAGCAGTCTAGGTCTAGGTTTGGAAAGCTGTAGGGGTCTATGGAAAAACAACGGCAGCAACAACGCACACTGCTGAAATGAAGAAACGGCAGGAAGGGGGAAAAAGCGACGCTTCAATCTTAAGGAAACCTCCACCGTCTACCCTGGGGTCCAGGACTCCTCGTGCATCCTAGGGGCATGCCAGTTCTGATCTGGAAGCGGCTTCGTGTAATGGACAAGAACGTCCGCACGAACTTACAGGTGTCGGAAGCAAGTCACCAACCCTCACGCATAACATATGGTTTGATCTACCCCCCTTCCCCCCGAATGCAATGCTGGTTTTGGATCTTCCGAGTTTGAGTGTCCGAGCGGTAGTACGTAAACGTGCCAGCTTTGACTGCGGAGGAGGTTGGAGGCAATTACTGGGAGGTTTTCGTCGGAAGGATTAGAAAAGATTAAACCCCATTTGGGGGCTCTTGCGCCGGAATGGGCCTCGGATGAAGCCGGATTCGTCCGACTTGAACGGGATTAAGCGGGATTAAGCGGGATTAAGCCGGATTCCGGACCAAGGCAAAATCAGAATATGACCTCCCAGGAGTTGCATCGGAAGGGGGGAGGAAGTGCTGCTTATTTTGAAGTGGCCCATGGACACACAAATAAATGCACACAGATAACAGGATTCCCCATATTTTCCCATATCCTCTGGGTTTCTGTCTTCCCCCCCCACTTCCCATATTTCCCAGATTTTCTCGGGAATGGACGATTAATTGTGTCTGTGTTTTTTTGTTTCCCTCCTGATATTTGTTTCCCCCAACCGCGCGACGAGGCCCTGCCTGCCTGCCTGGCGGGGGGCGGCAGGCCGAAGGGACCCGCGGCGGCCTCCCCGCGCGCACCGCCGCCGGCAGCGGGCCCGGCGGGCCCGCGGCGCGCGCGGCGGCGGCGAGCGCGGCGAGAGCCGCGAGCGCTGCGAGCGCCGCGGCCGCGGCGGCGGCGCCGCGGGCGCCTCGCGGCGGCGCGGCTGCCGCGGCCGCCGCGGCCGCCGCCGCTGTCGCTCCCGTCGCTGCCGTCGCAGCCACCGTCGCGCCTTCGCCGCAGGGTCATGCCGCCGCCGTCGCTGTCGCCGCCGTCGGCGGCGGCGGGGGGAAGGGGGGAGGGAGGGGGGAGGAAGGGAGGGGATGGGGGGGGGAAAGGGGGGAGGCTGGGAGGGGAAGCGACCGAGCCAGCGGAGGAGCGATTGGATTGTGATCTCCAAACTGAAAGGAGAACGGCCGAAGGGTGGATAGAGGTACCTACCACTCGGCATGGTCAGCGGGCCTTGCAGCACGCTGACAGGGAAGCTGAGGAGCTCAGCGGGCAAGGAAACGGCCGTCCAGTCGACGCTCATCATATCAAATCGCAGAAACGAGCCGGAAAACGCAAGAGCCGAGCAAAACCATTCTTGCGGGCTGACACCAGATGAGACAAGTGTTTGGAGCTTCCTACCAATTGCACTGCTGTAAACTGGCTCGGTCTACTAGATATCCAGATGGTACCCCGAGAACCATAATCGGACCAAATGTACCGCTCTGCCGTGCAAAGGAACCCAAAACAGCAACACTGCGTGAGAACACAACTGGTCAGGCAACACCAAAACCAGGGGCGTGCTTGGTGTGGGTGGTCAGTGTCGCAGGAAGGCGAGCACAGCGCGGGCTCGGCACGCCACATATTTCGCATTCTGCACGCTCGGGACAATTTCCTCCCAACGCCAATCCACGTGACGATGTTGGTTTGCAGCTGGTCACGTGTTGCTTGGGGCAAAGCGATGTGGGTTTGGACCATCTAGCGTCCACCGGTCAGCGCTGACTTGCAGCCAATCACATGCTAGTGAGGGCGAGGTGATGCGGGCTAACGCTGGTTTGCAGCCTGTCACATATTAGTGAGGGCGAGGCGATGTGGTGAGTTCGCACCATCAGCTTTAGCCACATGGCGAACACCAGGCAAATTGTCAGAACCTCTCGGGCGAAACTGCGCCCTAACCAAGCCAAACCAAGCACATCGCAAAGACGTGCCAAGCGAAGCCGCACCAAGACCAAGCTAAACGTAAGAACGTCTCCGCGCTGGAGCCAGGTTAATCCAGGCAAATTGCTAGGCGTCTGAGGCGAATCGGGCGAAACCGAAAGGATACTACGCACATTGCGAGGAAGTCTCAGGCGAAACCAGCGCCAAACCAGGCCAAATCAGCGCCCAAGCCAGACAATGCTTGAGGACGTCTCAGGCGGAACGCCCTGCCAAACAAGGACAAGCCAAGCCAAGCCAGGCTAAACCAGGGGCCAGACCAGGCAAAGTCCGAAGAAATCCTGAGTTAAAGGCTCCAAACATGTGTCCATCC